GAGTTTTCAAGTATCGAAAATTAACTCGTTTTGTAATAACGTTTCCAAACGCGTAAAAGCCAGGTATGATATTTTTCCCCAAATTCAGCACGGGGAAAGGATTCTTGTTCTTCATTAGTTTTCTTGCAGCATGTTTGCTTATTTTGCTAGTACTTCATGAGGAATTCTTTGAAAAGAGAGAGAGACATGATTTTAGGGGACAGCGCTGAATAACAAGTACTCTAAAGTTGTGAGGAAAGAGACAAGAAACGAATGAGAAATAAAATCTGATGTAACAAAATTAGACTTGCAACCAAGTGCTCAGGCTTGTTGTGAAACTGGTCGTAGGCGCATTATCACTCTTTAGTTAGAAGTAGTCGTTAGAGAAAGAGAGAGGAGTCACAATACAGAGATAAAACGGAGAGAAATTGATAGAACATTCATTGAATGTTAGGAATACATCCAAAGATTACTTTACGGAATACATTAAAAGGAGTTCATTCAAAGGAATATTATTCGACAAGGAGTCATCAAGAACCTGGGATCTAGAATACACTAATTCAACTGCCGGAATAGACTCAAAAAGTAAATTCATATCAGAGTATAGCAATGACTATTAATCTAGTCCAAATTATATTATAACTACACTCAATTGAAGAATCGTCGTCGGGTTCAGAAACATAGAACATAAAAGCTGAGACCGACATGGCACAATGTGGGAAATGACATAATTATATTATAATTTATTCATTTGCACCATCCATGCAGTCGGTTTTGAATGCCAAAAGCGTATTAAAGAACATTGGATGATGCCACGGGTCGCCTGTCACAGCATGCATCTAATTAATGTACTTCCCATGTGCCATTTCGATCTCAGCTTCTATGTCCTATGTTTCTGAACCCTGCAACGATTCTTCTATTGAGTGTATATGTAATTCTAATCATCAGCAATAGATATACCTGGAAAACACACGAGTATACAGAGATCTTTTATAAAATCGTACAGTGCTCCGTCAAGTTCTTATACAGAGGAATATTCGGCCTTTTAATTAAGCCAAGTTCTCATGAAACACTTTTCTTTCTTTATATCCTCTTGATCGTGCATTAGGAACCAGACAGGTACACTCTTAGGGCTCAAAAACAAGAGTTTAATTATCATAGTGCCTTTAGAAACCTACCTTTAATTTTATAACAAATAAACATAATCACGAGGTCTAAGTGGGCTAGGCATGCCCCAATACATTTCTCTATCAATATAATACAAGCTGGCGAGAGGGATTTAAATTTGATTAGATGAAATAGTGCTATTCGTATAATAATGATTTTTTTTTTTTTTTCTTCTTTCGGCGAAAAACATTTTCGACGTTAAAATAAGTCAGTTGCCATGTCCGGAAAACGTATATAAATGGTTTGGAGCTCAAAAAGTCTACGTTTCAATCGTAATTTTGA